TGCAAAAAGCGCTTTCCCTAGCACAGATTTCAAAATCGAATTCCATCTGGTCTCGCCGAACTGTGGTTATTCAGTCAGCGTGTGTGGTCGCAGTGCTTTCGGCGCGTGGCATTGGACATTGTTCTCCAGTACACAACGAAAGGCTACCCGCAAGCAGCGAGCTGCAGTCCACATGAGCGTCTATTCACCAAAGAAGGAAGAAGAAGCCGCACCGCTACTGATCGGATTCAGTAGCTCTTCGCGAGTTGCTCGCCAGCCTCATCCGTGTTGAACACCCTACTAGCTCAGCAATACTCAACCATCATGACAAAACGGTCATTTTTAGGACCACCATGGATTTTTGTTGTTAAAGAGTTAATTTTCATTGAACTTTCGCTCGCCTTGCTTCCTGCCACATTACCTACCAAAGCTCTTTGATAATGTACACAGCAACCTAACGTTTATGGTCAATTGCGTAATAGTATTGAAGTGGTACATAAAAGTTCTCGCAATAACCGAATACCACATAACCTTGTCAATTAACCAGAAACACTTCGAATTAAGGGAAGGGTTTCTCCAGGACGTTCGAAAAATGCAAAAAAAACCTCGTATTTATATGAATGATCGCGAATATCTCGGGACTGGAAAATTTTAGCATAAAATTTCTCCCATCAATTTTCATTTTTTTTTTATTATATATTGAATAAACCAAAAATTCCGTGCGATTTGTGCACGAACATGCGTAATTTTGCCATCATAAAACGAGGCGTTTCCGTTATGGGAAAAAGTGGTTTCCCTATACAGTCGCCGAGTATTGATATCGAGCACCTAATCCTACGTTAAATTTACGGTCGTGTCTTGGATACAACCTCTTACATTTTTATCAAATGTTAAATCCAGTCCTTTATATCCGCAATACGCACGCAAGACTCAAACCTTTGTAGACCACGCACATTTTTTAAAGGTTCCTTAAGGGTGAGTCGGTAATTATTGCGACACTTTCAAACTTGCGTTATTTCACGGGTAAGGACAAGTTTGCTGTGGATGACGCTTTCTAACGGAAGAAGCTGTCGAAATTCGCTTCGAAGTACCTGATTTGGCAGGCCATATGCACTTGTGGCAAACGGAGTGAACTATTTGTGACCAAAGGCACCATAAACGGTAAGATTTACAAAACTGAGTGTCTCCAGACAGCACGATCAAAAACCTTTGTTATGGCCCGACTTGGCTTCATGGCACTACTTCAAAACCGTGCAGGAGGTATGCGGCTTATTCTGTGGGTTTTGTGCTGAAAGACATGAACCCACCAAACTGTCCTGAACTCCGTCCGATCGAAACCTATTACTGAACTACTGTAACAGTTTGGTTTCATTTCGATGACTATAGCCGATTTACCAATCAATCTAAAGTGTCGCAATAATTATCGACTCACCCTTTGTTATTAAATCAAATATCAAAAATCCATCATCACCATCGTGGCGAACAAAATATTTTTTGCAGTGCTACAATAATTATTAAAAAGTCGTTATGCCAACTATTCATACAAAATAATCCGTTGGGGATAACTTCGTCCAGAAACATAATTTGTAAATTAAAAAAAAATCCTAATCAAAAGACAGTTTTAACGTGTTAAATGCAATGTCTCTTAAATTCTGCTAGTGTTATTGCACGTTTAATAAATCTAGGCATCGAATTGAAAACATTTATTCCTGTGAAGTACAATGAATTTTGTGAAGCACAGGTCAAGAAATTTGATATTCTTATTTCATCCGCGTTTCTAGTATTATTTCTATTAAAGTATCTTCCCCTTTCCATTCGATCTCACAAATATTGAGGCAGCAAATCGTCAACTACTTTAAACATGAACACCATAGTCAAATATACAATTACTTGCTTCACCGACAACCATTTTAAAGCGTCTAGCATCAAAGTTGAGCATGTGAAACGCATTATTTTACTCTGCAAGCGCTGTAATCTCGATATTTGTGTTGCATTGGCTAAAAACAGTCTTGTAAGTGGTCACTGTAGTCGATATATTTTCTGTGATAATCGACTGCCTTTGCTTCCGACACTTGCAAAACAAGCTATCAAATTACAGTACCAAACTAAAATGTCATACGACAGGCGTTGTAATACGACACTGTTGGCGAAGACCGTCACGAATGTATGTATTTTAGTTTTCTCATATAAAAGCTGCTGATGTTGTGCTTGTGTAAATTCTGAAAACAGCAAGCAACGATGTCCTAGTAATAACATTTCTGATCAGAAATGGTTTAATTTACACCAAATTGAGGAATTAGAACGAAATCACACATGTCATATGATAGCTATTTGAAAATTTTCTTTTTGCTCGAATGTTGTTCTACCGTTTGTGTTGTGTAAGAGAGACGACGGTAGAGCATGAGAGTACGAATAAAAAAAGACTGTCGCACATGACATCGAAGCTAGTGTCGTAAAAAACGTCAACAGTTTCAACCCCTGGCCAAAAATAAAATGGAAGGGCAGAAGTCTAAATGAGGAGAGATGATTGATTTGTACAGCTGTATTTTACTCGTAATAGTAAAATCGTTTTTCAGTCGACATAGAATTCCATACTTCTTGGCAATTTTCTTGATGACATTGTCAGTGTGAGAGTTGAACTTGAGTTTGTCATCAATAATCAGCCCAAGATATTTAATCTCCCGAACGCGATTAATAGTCTCATCATCAATTACAACGGAGACGTTCTCATTTACTCGATTCCGCGAAATTACCATTAATTTAGATTTAATAATATTCAATCTCAATCAGTGATGCAAAATATCATGACACTCACGTGACACTCGTCTACGCATCAACCGACTATCGCTGACAGAACGTTTTGTCACGCAGTGAGAGGTAGAGCCATGGCAAACAACAATCACTAGTAATGGTCGCTTCTCACAAGCAAAACGATACACTCGCTGCTGATGATGAAAGGCACAACGAAAACAGTGAAGGCTTCTGCTGTACGATCATGAGAAAAAGCGAAACGACAGAAGAAAATGAAAACAATGCCTACCCATTCCAAGTTCGTCTCGGCAGGCGCGACTGTGTGCGTTACAAACAAAGCAGGCAACATTTCTCGCGTCACTTTTCAAATAGACCAATGTAACATAACCACCATTTTGAGAAAATCGAAGTTGAAGTTCGACAGATTATTATTTTAAATGTTTAAAAACAATACATTTTTCAATACTATTTTTAATGTAGTCAGTGTATAATAACGTTGAAAATTCAGAAGAAACGGTAAAATCACAATTTTACTTTGAATTTCATGCTACAACATAGAATAAACCACATAGGACGTTTTGACAAGTCGAGTTGTACATCGGACATGTTACATTGGACGATTTTTCTCAATGACAAAATTTGAAAAGTGACGCGAGATTTAACGGAAGCTGTTGGGCTCACTCACCAACACACTCACATATGCAAGCAAAGCAGCAACTGCTTCAAAACGAGCACAGATGAGTGTCGTGATTGTCGGGAATGACCAGTTGCTTTTTACTTCTTTCGTCAACCATCCATTAGGTTATGGAGAGAGCTTCGACGAGCACATTGATAGGAATGTACAGAGCGTTACTACCATCAGCTGTTTGACGATCGTGATTGTGATAGGTCACAACTCTGATCTCAATTGCTTATACTATAACCATCTAAGCAGATGATAATTCAAATCTTCATTCAAGTTTAAAACGGCATCATCTGAATCCTTAACTTCAATGCATAACACGTAATAATGTCGCAAAATCGTAAATAAATAAAAGGGGCCCTAATACACTTCCTGGGGCACTCTAAAGTTATTTCACACGGGACTTGAAACAGAATCATTAAAAATAAATAAAAATTAAAATGAAAATACAAGAACATCAATTCACGATTGATAGTGAAGGAAGTTACAACCATATCGATTATTTTTTTAACAATGCGTTTATTTTTCCAGGCTCTTTGCTGTAACTTTGCCGAGTCGATATTTATTGTTTAGATAACAAAATTACTTAAAACTAACGTTAGTAAAGCGGGGGCCGATTACTCGCGGCTATCTCGAGGTTAGGGGTAACAAATGGATGGTAGGGTAGGGACTGAGAACATAAGGTTTGGAGAGCAATGTGCTCTTGATCTCGAACTAAGCGACATACTGATGAAAAAGACAATCATGGGGGTACACCGATGGGCAGATAACAACTTTGTAGAACACAAGATGACACTAACTACTAAATCCTCAGATATATCTGTTTTAGAAATACATAATATAAATTAAAATAGTCGAAATCCCAGCTAGCCAAAACATCGAGTAATTAAGTTGTTATTAATAAGTTTCAGTAATTATAAAATATTTCCCTGAATTTGAATGAAATTCCCTGATATTGCCTGATTTTCCAGGTTTTTTTTTAGGTAGTCGACACCCTGTATAAAAATATTAATAATAATATTAGAAGAAATTTAAGAATCTGGCTCCCCAAGGAAAAAGTTCTACCTATGCCGTTGTGGTTGAATCGTATTTGTTTGATTATCCAGTCAAATATCCATTTAGCCAAAGGATGATTTAAGTTTTTTTTTATCATTCGTTCATTTGCCATAAGAGTCAATTGAATAGTACTCAGATATCTTCAGAACTGAGTTCTGAGTGTGGTATGCAATTTTAAACGAAAAATACTCAGAAGTAAACAGAAATCAAGAGAATTTCAAGAAAATACTTCCAACAATAAAAGCCATACGCTTTCACAATGCCGAATCCATCCGATAAACACTCATAATAGCTTTCAATCTCCCAATCATCATCTAAAGCAAGCCACATACAGCGTTATAACTCGTTCCGATACATCATTTGGTCACACAACGTGCAATCGCTCTTCATCCGAACGCTGCTACTGCAATCGGCAAGATTACGTGTCAAATCCCAAACGTGGAGGATAACCTACTCCTAAAGTCCTTCCCTCCCCCCTCCCTCCGTATGCCGTCGTATTTATCGTAAAAGTAGCAAACCAAAATGGACTTACCTCGACATCGTACTCGCCGGTCCGCTTGCAGAGCCACGTGGAGCCACCGAGACAGTCGGCGTAGTTCATTATCAGTATCACATCGATCAGCAGCCACACCAGCGATGTGAGCAGCACAATCCGGCATGTGTTGGTACGAATCTTGCCTCGGAACATTCTCGAGTAGCTGATGGTGGTCATTTCTCGCTCCACCGGGATGGCGAAGACTGATCGATTGGATTTTGGTAACAGAGTTATAACGACTCTATTGCCAGCTTTGCTATTTACGGCACGTATACGTAACTGCTCACTGAATGGTTGGGATTCTTCACGTTACTTCCGCCGAGTAATGCACTCACTGCACTGTTACCACCCGGCGCGCGTGTACTGTCTGGCACGGGACACTACCGCGTGTTACCTGCCGCACCAGTGCAGCACACCGGAACGCTTCCGACCACTAGCGATAAATACGAATTGAATTACATTAACACATCGCACTGCTCCACTCTCCGTCGACGTCAACGGCAAGCCGTCGTCGGTACACTTGCACACACTGACACTGTCGGCACACTCGGCTCTGTACGCCGTTTCGATGGTAGCGGGGACCTATCTTGCTCAACGGACTATGCACATATAAACATAAACAGGAAAGGATTTTTGCCCACGCTGTTCAAGCAATTCTCCAGCCTTAGCTATTTTGTTGCCGTAAACAATTCACGGTAAGCCTCCAAGGAATAAACCACATCAAAACAACCTACAACAGAAACCTAAAAACAGATATAACTGAGGGCCCTACCAAAATGGAATAAGCATATCACACGCGATAATTCTCTTCTGCGGTTTGGAATTTTCACTTGCACTGGCGGTGGTAGCCCATTGGCATATTTCGCGCTCTATACACAAGTAAACTGTTAATTTCCTAGCGGAAAAATAAAAAAATCAAACTACACTCATAAAAGAAACACGCACAGCTCGAACGGGTCGGATTAATCGTCGGAATAATAAAAGTATAAGTGCAAATCTCTCGTAGACGTTAATTTTTTTTTCGCTGCTGCTTTCTCCACCACATGGCTGTAGTTCGCCAGCAGTTATTGCCTGTTAGCATCGATTGATGGGCCTGAAAATGAAATTTGAAGAGAAAAACAATAATTAGCAAATTGTTCGTCAGGTTAATTTGGTGGAAAGGCATGTAAATGTTGTCGTGAAAACGTTTGCCAGTAATTGCCTCGAACACTCTCGGACGATAATGGGTGTGAGAACACGTGGAAACTTACTTGGTCGGCTCGAATGAAGTAGCGTGGCGTGTTGCCATTTTAGCAATCTGTTTCCGAATTATGTTAACCGCGGAATGAGTTATAAGATGGTTTCCTAAAGATGGTTCTCAATTTCAGAACGGGTTATTTATTCCGTTGGGTTTCGATTTGCAACATAGGCAACATTCAGTACCGTTTCAGTCCACAGTGAAAACAAGGTAAACAAAAAAGATCGCCGTTAGGCCACCGAGCCCCTCATATCACAACAAATCGATACAATCCACAGCTTCGCGACGACTACGGCGAGAGTTTAGTCAATCAGCTCAAACAAATATAAGGAAAGATCTCACAAAACGTGCATACGTGGATTGGAAATTTCAAAGCTGTACGTTTTGTGATATCTGATAATCATACTCTTGAAAATGCGAAGAGAAGGTAACAACTATCGCAAAAAGGCTTCCATTGCGTTCTACCTCAAAGCTCATACTACGAAACACAGCACACTCCAAATAAATAAAGATATTAAACTGTTGAATAGTTCAGCGGTTCATAAGTCGAATTTCGATCTGCAAGCAAGAATGTTCGGATGTTTATAGCGCAAGATTCGATCTCTGCTACAGACACGATACTTGTTATAAACCGTACTGCATCTATTCTACAACTTCATCATCGCTGCATGGTGGTGCTAAATTCGACCATTTCATCCGAAGGCATTCACCCGAAACGGGGGGCTCCTTGCTCCGCTCAGGAAAAACCACTATCGTTGCAGTAGTGTAGCAATATCGAACCAATCGAAAACCCAACCAACTGGATAAAACAAAAGCCAATACTGTACCTTCATTTTCCATTATCTTAAAATCGAGATGCAACAGCAGCACCGTCGTCCTATACCTACCTGAGGAAACCACCGAACGGTAACAGTCTTCCCTTACGGGCTAGGTTGCATTGTAGTCTGTGTCGTATTTCAAAAGATTGGAAGTTCGGGTGGCGGGGTCGACACAGCGATAATGATGAAGCTTTTGGTGCTATTTCTGCTTTGCTTCTAAGTAATGCAGTAGCTGGCTTCTTCGTTTTCCTCGAACAAGGTACTGGAAATCCATTCAAATATTTGCATGCACTTTTCGTCTGCTCCAGGTAAAGCTTCTTTGTTTCATTGGGTACTCCGCCATTGTAAAATTAAACCAAATAATTACGAAACATTCTTAGAAAAAGTCAGCAGCATTACATGAGTATCAAAACAATTGTTTTAACATGAAAAACTTTAGGTAAGTTTTAAAAAATAATTTGATTCAAAGAAACCAGCAACCTTGTATCTTGCAGCAATTCATAAATGACGTAAACAAAAGCTCGTACCAATAGCCGTGTAACAAATTCTTCGAAAGAACGAATTTATACTGCATCAATCAATGGGCTAATCTTCATTCCAATTTCGCTCTCCCCAATTTCCCCTCCCCTTGTACATTGCAAGGGTCGCAGTAGGATGCTTATTTTCTTGCGGATTGCACCATTCATCGGACAGCAAAAGAATACCATTTACGAGCATGATGTTATCACACACTGTTTGTTTTCCATTGTGTTTCCTCTTGTTCCAACTTCACTGCAGACGGAGGAGAAGAGAAGGAGGTTCGGTCCGGATGCTTGTGATGAGGAAAGCTCAGTTCATTCTGAAAGAACCGACCGCAAGCCACATCGTCTATCTTTTACACCGGTCTGGTTCAAAGAATTCACCGGGAAAGATATAACCCACTTGGCCAAGGTTCGAAATGGAAAAATTCTTGCATCAAAAGCACACTGCATTTTGCATCGAGGCGGGTGAAAACGACGTCGACGACGCGATGCGGTGAGTGAAAAACTGCCAAAGCATTAAATTAGTTTTTCTCTCTTTGAGGCTGCGTTCCATCTAGCCTTAGGTGTGGGAGTGTGTTTTCACCTTTACGCTATCATTCGTTCTGAGGTACGCGGCAGAAAATGTTGGTAAATTTTCTGGCATAAAGAAAATCTTTCCGATTCGGGGTCTACGAATCAAGCTGCACTGGAGTGTCTCAAAAGATTTTTTTCGAAAAGTTATCCTGCTTCCTGCTATAATTGTAGATAGAGCTATTCGAAAAACATAGCTTCATACATGAAAACTCTCGAAATAAATCTAGATAAACATTTCAAAAGGTCCTATCTGCATTGATCGATTCTCTTCATCGACATTCTCTTTCGTTAATAACTCAGTTTCAAAAACTTTCCCTGTTGTATTTAACGTTGAGGACGCTAGATGAGAACCTCTTTTATCAAACTATGTGGTAAAAATAGCACAAAATCTATTTGCATAGCAGTGGTTGTCCAAAGAGAAAGTTGATCAAACCAGATAGGACCTTTTGAAATGTTCAGGGGTTGCAAGCTTCAAATTTAAAATTTTTTATGTAAAATTTTAATAAAATGGTAAAAACCTCAAAAACTCAAAATGTCCTAGCCGATTTTTGAAAAAAAAAATCAAAAGAAAACTTTTGAAATGTTTAAATTATGGATACATACAAATTTCCAAAAATCGTAGAACAAGAACTTTGGGTAATTTTTTTGTTAAATCGATTTTAATGTGATTTACTCTGATTGGCAAAATAAAGTACTTACTTACTTACTCAAGGGTCCTGTGCACCACCAGCGGTGCAAAGGGCCAACGTGAAAGACTTCCATCCTGGGCGGCTGTACGCTTTTGCCTTGACCTGGGCTCAGGTCAGATTCCTATCGACTTGCTTAATTTCCTTATTGAGGCTCCGCCGCCATGAGCCCCTGGGTCTGCCTCTGCTGCGATGTCCTGCCGGATTCCAATCCAGCGCTTGCTTGTAGATTTCGTTTCCGCCCCGTCGAAGTGTGTGGCCGACCCACCTCCACTTTCGCTCTCGAATTTCTGTTGCTATCGGCTTCTGATGACATCGACGATGGAGCTCGGCATTCGAGATCCAGTTGTGAGGCCACCAGGCACGAATCTGGCATCGATTGATGAAGACCTGCAGCTTTTGAGTGTTCTCCGCTGATACACACCACGTCTCGCTGGCGTACACAGATTTCACGTTCGAGATGAAAATTCGGATTTTGGTGCGTTGACTCGCAAAGGCAGCCCTAGCCTTCTTGATTCGTGCACCTATGTCGCTCTTGGTCCCGCCGTCCGACGCTATTTGGCTGCCAAGATATTGGAAACTTTCGACCTTCTCCACTGCTTGCCCCGCTACCGTAAGTTTGGAAGGGTTGCCCGTGTTGATATCCAACGATTTGGTCTTGTTGACGTTGATGGTGAGACCCGCCGCAGAGGAGCGTTCGGCTAGGTCATTGAGCTTACTCTGCATATCAGAGCGCCGTTGTGCTAGTAGAGCAACATCATCAGCCAAATCGAAGTCGTTGAGATGCTCCATGGTGATAGGCTGCCAAAGCAGCCCACGGTTCGGTACAAGGTCAATTGCACCTACCATGATCTCGTCGATTACGATGAGAAACAGTAGCGGTGATAGTATACATTGTTGTCTCACACCAGCGACTACCCGGATAGGGTCGGACAAGGCTCCGTTATGCAGAACTCTGCACGTGAAAGCCTCATACTTTCAAAGCTTCGATGAGGTTGACGATTTTATCCGGGACTCCCTTGCGCCTCAGGGCGCCCCACAGATTCTCGTGATTGAGACGGTCGAAAGCTTTTTTGTAGTCAATGAATACCAAATAAAGGGACTCTTGGAATTCATTGACCTGCTCCAGGATGATGCGGAGCGTGACAATATGGTCCAAAAAGATCTTCCAGCACGGAATCCTGCCTGCTGCCGTCGGAGAGTCGCGTCGATCTTCTCCTGTATCCGATTCAGGATAACTTTGCACAGAACTTTGAGAACAATACACAGTAACATGATGCCTCGCCAATTGTCGCACACAGTCAGATCCCCCTTCTTTGGGACCTTCACTAAGATGCCCTGCATCCAGTCGGCCAGAAAAGTCGCGGTGTCCCAGATATTACAGAATAGTTGATGCAACATTTGTGCGGATAGCATGGGGTCCGCTTTGAGCATCTCTGCTGATATGCGATCGACCCCTGGAGCCTTGTTGGATTTCATGCTTCGGATAGCTGCTTCAATCTCCTGCAGTGATGGGGCCTCGGAATTGACGCGAGTGATGGATCATGCCGAGATGTTGATGACTGGTTGGCCGTCGAAACTTGAAGAAGTTGTTCGAAGCGCTCAAACCAGCGTTTCAGCTGGTCAGTGGGGTCGGTAAGCAATTGTCCAGTCGTGTCCTTCACTGGCATCCTCGATTCCTCGGGTTCATGCTTGCTCCACTCAGGCGTCGTGAGATATTGTAGAGGAGGCGTATATCGCCAGTGTTTGCGGCTTTCTCCACTTCGTCGGCCAGGGAGTTCACCCACGCTCGCTTGTCCCGTCTGCTAGAGCGCTTGACTTCCTTCTCTAGAGCCGAGTACAGTTGACGGGCTTCGTTCTTGGCTCCTCTGGTTCTCGCCCGCTCTATCGCGGTTTTTGCTTCTCTACGCTCCTTAATCTTCCGCCAGGTTTCATCTGTGATCCACTCTTTCCTCTGGGTGCGCAGCTCATCCAAGTTGTTCTCGCTTGTTTCTATAAAGGCATTCTTGATGGCCGTCCATTGTTCTTCTACGCTGCCACCTTCTGGAACGTCCGCAGCTCGAGTCTCAAGCTCTTCAACAAAAGACCTTTTTACCGCTGGATCTTCAAGTCAGCGTGTGTTGAACCGCCACCCGAGTCTCTCCTCCCGTCGCTGGATCCTCACCATGCGTAGGCGGATTTCGCCGATTAGAAGGTGATGGTCAGACGCGATGTCGGCGCTGCGTTTATTTCGGACATCAAGAAGGCTCCGTCTCCAT